CCTTCCTTCCTTCCTTCCTTCCTTCCTTTCTTTCTTTCTTTCTTCATTAATTCATTCTTGCCACTCAACATTCCTACCCCCAAAAGCTGCTTCTTTCTCAGAGACCCATTAATGAACCATGCTTGCTTTGGGAAAAGTTAATTAGCTTTTAACGTTTACACTCTACATTCTAATCTGCTGAATTAAGAGATCTTATTCTTAAGTCTATGTAGCTGTGATTCACAGAAGAAATCACCACTGTCGATAAGGAAGCCGAAGATGGATATCAGGGCCCCACATTCTCTCTTATTCCTGCCTATTTTTCCATCATGTGCTGGTTAAGCAAGGGAAAATCATAGTAAAGGTGTTTGTTTTGTTTTTACATTAACCATGATTTGGACAATCTGCTGAAGTACTCTATGTTTTAATCGAACAGATTTTGTAGATTTATAGTTTGATCCTTCTATACCTTTCAGAATTTTTCAAACAACACTTCTGTCGATAATGGCTTATTTTGTTGTTTTAAACTAATGTGCCACGCAGAAATGCCACGCAGAAATTGCACACTTTTTCCTCGTATCGTTTCTCACACCATACCTTGTGTCTTTTGAGCCACCGCGATGCCTTCCACCACCAGGATAGTTATCAAGAACACTACGGGGGAAACAGCCAGAGAAGAAATTGGTAATTAGAACAAAAGGGATAGTTGCCTTCATTCACCAAAAGGGATGGGCTGTACAGAGGCCACTATGCTACTTGACTCCAGAGGAATCACAAAATCAGTACTGAACATTTTGCATACAGTGTCACCAACAATATTTGCAGTCTTTATCTAGAACAAGAAAAAAAAATTAATCAACACATTTGCACAATATCCAGGGCCTGATACCTTGAAAATAAAAGAGCATTTACAGGATGAATGCTATAACCTCAAAAGAACACTCTCTTTTCGCCACTTCATTTTTATATTTATCTTTGTCAAAACTTTTTCTTGGGAATCCTGGCACAAAGGACGCCATTAGCTTTCTGAGGAGAGACAACAGAAATCAGCAAACGGACAGGGAATATCACAATGTGTAATGCTCAGTTACGCATTTTCAACGAAGGAAATACCTATTATAGCATGGGACACGCTGGATTTGAAAGTTTCATCTGTTGATTTTTTTTTAAATAAAGGTGATGTTTTCTTTAAATAGTCTTTCCAGATTGAAGTATACCCCTCCGAATTTTAGCATCTTGTTTTGCTGCAAGAGTAAAGGTGGTCCTTGATTTACAACCACAGCCCCAAATTTCCGTTGCTAAACAAGACAAGTGAGTTTTGCTCCATTTTACAACCTGTCTTGCCACAGTTGTTAAGTGAATCTGGCTTCCCCATTGACTTTGCTTGTCAGAAGGTTGCAAAAGGGGATCACGTGACCCCAGGACGCCACGAGCCGGTTGCCAAGCGTCTGAATTTTGATCACGTGACCAGGGAGATGCTGCAACGGTCGTAAGTTTGAAAAACTGTTATAAGTCACTGTCTTCAGTGCCATTGTAATTTTGAACAGTCATTAAATGAGCTGTTGTTAAGTAGAGGACTACCTGTAATTTCTTAGATATTAGCCCCAACCATCTGAGATTGGGACGTAGAGAAACACACATTATGCTAAATTATATTTCTAGTCTACCTTGATTTCTCTTCCTTGTGAGATATAATCCGAGGCCTCGGGCTACAGTTGATCCCTAAGCATTGCCCTCATCTGAATCTTTTTTAAACATGGTTTTCAAGTCATTCTTAGCAGTTTGCCACTTTGCATTTGAAATGTTTCTCTAGAGAGCCACAACGATCAATACTGAATATGTAGGCTGGTAGAAGCTGAAAACATTTAATGAAATAGTTGTAAGTCAAGGACTACGTGTAGTTCAAACTGTGATCTCAATACATTACAAAATATAGGACAGAGATAACATATCTAGGGCAGCTTAAGAGCTCATTCTTTTAATAAGAAATCATAGAATCAAAGCATGCTTATGGATTTTGGATTCATGCGAGACGTGGCATCGCAAGGCAATAATTCATAAGAGAATTGCCTTAGCTTATAATCAACTGTTTTCTTCTGCAAGTTCTTCTACCGTTTTCTTTCAAATGTAGTTAATATTCCATTAAAGATCTTTCACACATCCAAACATGCACCCCAGGCCACTGATTTCATTAATCCTGATCTACGGCAGAATGTAACTTCCCAACAGAAGGCACTGCAGCTGCTACAGATGGCTAACTGCTTTTTGTCACTACTGACCTGCTCAAGACAGAGAACAGACATCATAAAAGTGAAAATCCTATTTTCTATTATGTGTCTCCAGGGTATTGCTGCACTATTAATTAGCTGCCACCAAGAAAAAGAGAACTATGTTTTAGATCAGTCCCTTGGTTGCTATAGCCAGCTGTTGCAAAGGTTAGCTTTTTTGCCTCCGGAATTTACATCACGTTAACCAGGGACAAAGTGATATCACTTTATTAATGAGGTAGTTGTTGTCTAACAAAACTGTCTTGTCATGAAAACGTTCTAATATTGGCCCATGGAGAGAGTCTGTCGGAGATTGATAATTTGAGATATAAATAAGGGAAGTGGAGGTGGAAGAGGGTCTAGGACCGTGGTGGGGAACCTATGGCACGCGTGCTACAAGTGGCACTCAGAGCCCTCTCTGTGGGCACGCGTGCCATCACCCCGGTCCTAGGCCTTCAGCTGGGTTCTATAAAACCTTTTCATTTTAGGCCTCCACCGTGGTGTGCAAAAAAAAAAAAAGGTTCAATCAATCAATTTCAACTTCTCATGGGAAAAAAAAAAGATCTTGCAAAGTTGGAATTGATTGATTGAACTTTTTAGTCCCACCCAGTCTGCCGTTACCACCGCAGCCATGCCCACCCAATGGGCCACACCCACCCAATGGACCACATCCACCCAATGGGCCACACCCACCCAGCACCCAACGATACATAAGTGGGATTTGGGTTGCAGTTTGGGCA